TTGTCAACAAAACTCTGGCTGCTGATCCGGCCACCACGCCCCTGCCCCTGCGTGCTGCCTACCAGGCCACCTACGCGCAGCTGCTGGTGGATCTGCTCAAGTTCTTGGGCTACTTCCTACAGAATGCCCTGCTCACGAAGCCGGTTCAGTGTCTCTACACCGCCACCTTGCGCCTCTTTTTGGTGCTCTTCTATGACTTTCCCGAGTTCATATCGGACTACTGTGCCCTCTTCTGTGATCTGGTGCCTTCTAACGCACTGCAGTTGCGGAATCTGATTCTCTCAGCTGCACCCAGTCGTGACACACCGCAGATTGATCCGCTCCAGGTTAGTTCGCCCTTCGCTTGCCTAGTCCCCTTCCTCCCTATTGTCACCTTTTCCTCTGATTGTTCGACCATCGATTTCGATTAAGTCCACCGTAAGCACCAACAGGTTGGTGCAGTAATGGTGACTGGCCACAAGGGGTAGCTTTAAAGTGATAGCAGACGTAGTTGGCGCCAACCGCACTCTTCACCTTCACCATGGGTCAAGAAGGCCGGACTGGATCCGGCGTTGGCCGCTTTCGCCAATGCATCCAGAAACACCGCCTAACCTAGCCTTAAGTGGTAGTAGACTTTGCGCGGGTACTACCGCACTATCTACCCCCACTCACGTTCAGTAGGTGTCAAGACAGGCTCAAGGAGGCCGAGACTGATACGGCTACTACTACTAACTAGCAATGCACCTGAGTGTTAGTAGTACTGGTACTATTTCTGACGCTAGCGTTATTCAGAGGTGACGTGAATTAAAAATCACTCTGGGGCTCATACCCGCTTGATCTCAACAGTGAGTGTGAATCTGGGTTTAAGCTCTTCCAAGTAAATACGTGTTTCAGGCCCTGAGCACATCAGGGCCTGTCTTGGTCTCCGCCCTCAACTCTATCCACCAGACTGTTTCAGTTTCTACTAGGTTTGGGCTAGGATGCTAGAGGCAATATGTCACTGCTAAAAGTGTCAGTTTTAGTAATCATTGAGACGAGGATAATTCGATCGCTTAGACAACACTTATATTCGCCTGAGGTTTCGATATCCGTCGCGGATTCTTAATCAGAGAAATGAGCCGAAAGCAATAGCAGAACCGGATCCAGCAATCATATTTACTAAAATTAGTGTATAGTATATTTTAGTACTATATTTTTATTATTGTATTAATAGCTGACATGCACCTTCTTTTCGTAACAAGCATAACAGATTAAAATGTGGGCTGGTTTGTAAGAGTCCCGGGCGAGCGTTCACGTCCGGTAGTGAGGTAAGACCTCACCTTTTCCCGTACTGGCGTAGAAATCGCATCTCATTCTGACTCATGTCTATGTACCATTGAGGCAGGAGTCAGCTCCGAGTTTCTCCGAGTTAAGTCTGCTGTATTTAGGACTTGAAACTGGCATTGTAGTTCCCGGAGGATATCTACTGGCGCAATTCGGTATGCACTGAGAGCCGCCATGCACGACATCAATTCCGTCTAGGTCAGTCACAGGCCGCAGACTTTCAGGGTCATGAGAAAGGAGAAATTTGTCTAGACTGACGTCTGCCTCGTGCCTGAAGACTGTACTGTCTGTCTATCTGTCTGTCCTCAATAGCCCCACCTCTCCTTTATTGTTGTTTACTGAAGATGCGGGTTCAGGCTGCCTTGATCGCGTTAACAACTAGGCCAACAAACCGACCGCTCAACCATCCCCTTCCCCCTTTTAGACGCACCCTATCGACCAGCGGGCCCTGCTTGAAGATCCCACAGGCTACTGCATGGAGGCCGGCCTTCGCCTGCCGCCGCCCCTACGTGCCGAAC